TCAATCATCACAAGTTTGGAGAGAGAAGCCAAGGAGAGAGGCGATGCCCAAGCACTAGGCCTGGCCACATTTGTACAGAAGTTTGAATTCATTGCAACTCTGTACATGATGTGTGATTTGCTGCCACAACAGTCACAACTGTCAAAGGCCTTGCAGGTAGAATTATTTTACAATTTTATAATTCATAGTTCAGTAAAATGTAATATCTGTACTGTCAAGATTCAAATAGGTAAATAATCTAAATTAAGTTATTAAACACAAGATTTTTTTAACAGAGAAAAGATGCAGACTACACAGAGTAATACCTCTTGTGACTGGAACTCTAAAGGCCATCCAATCATTTAAAGAAAGGCATGGGGAAAATTGTGCTTCAGTAAAGAATGTAATAGATGATTTAATTAAAGAAAACTTCAAAGTCAAGAGCCCAACAGAGGAGGAATTTGATAAATTTGAAAGACAGGTACTTCTTCAGTACAATGAAGTTTGATTTTTGGTGGAGTCACTTTTACCGTTCTAGAGTTATGCCATTTACAAATGAAAAAAAAGATGAATTTTTCGTTTCCGTTCACTAACTTTAGTTTACTACAACCAAATGTTAATATGAAACTTATACACAATGCTTATTATCACAAAACTCTGATCAAGTACAAATTTGGGTAGCGTCACTTCTACGGTTCTTGAGTTATGTCCCTTTATAACGTTATACGCAAGCGGGGGCATCATCTGTGTCCCATGGACACATTTCCCATTTATTTTTGGTAAATTGTTTGAAGAATTTTGTGGTAGGTTTGTTTGTTATTCTGTATAAACTAATTTGTTGAATACTATATATAAAAATATTTTTTTAGATGAAGCGAACTCCTTAAAAAACTAAGCTTTTATTGTCTATTACTAAATATGTATTTAGATTTTTTATTTTGGGCCCAGTTTTCAATTTGATCCAAATCGGGGTCCAAAATTAAACTTAAAAGTTTTCTTGATTTCAACATAAATTGTATATATATATGGGTTCTTTGAAATGCTGAATCTAAACATGTATTTAGATTTTGGATTTTAGGCTCCTTTTTAAAATTGGTCCACAATGAGGTCCAAAGAGTCCTAAAATAAACTTTTGTTTGATTTCATATTGGACCATAATAGGTAAGTGTCCAATTTCAAATTTTTAACGCTTTTGACCCCATTAAACCTTCTTTGTCAAATGTTCAATCACAATCCAAATTCAGGTCTGTTTTAAGCTTAAATGTTGTGTCCATACTTGCCCAAACTGTTCAGGGTATCAAGCTGCGTCCAAGCGGAGCATTTTATTTTTATATTCTTATTTGTATCAGGTTTTATAATATATCATGGAAAATAAGAACTTTATTAAAAGTCTCGCTTAATGAAACAAATTGGTCAGATGTTCCATATATTCCAGTATTAAGATTGAATGGGTACATTTTTTGGCCTTTTTAAAACTGGTTCTTTTTAATTGTCAAGCTACCATCTGTAAGTTTTAATGGATATCAATGTGGTGTCAATGTGCGGTTTCCGAAGTTATTTGTATTTTAAAAACCAAGAAATAACAGTACCATTATCGGAGTATCAATTGTTTGTCAACCAATCACTTTGTTTTAGTCGAAGCCCTCTAATTTTTTACCGAGAATATGTTTAAATTCTGGAAGGGAGAACTTCATTGGACTGAAACAATAGTATGATGGGTATGAATAAAAAGGTATATTAACTAGGGATGTCAACGAGTACTCGAGTATTCGAGTATCGCTCGGTAGTACCGAGTATCGAATACCAAAACGATACTCGACTAATCGGTTTCCTGTTAGAATATTGCTTTCTACTTTGTACAAAATTAATCTTCTTGGGAACCTCTTTCGGAAAATTAAATAGGCATCACTGATTAATCATACTAGTAAATAAAATACATTATGTTTCGAATGCTTGCGCTAAATTGTCATTTAAAATGCCGCCGAAAAAACGTGGGCTATACCTAGGCTAACACTTTAAACTAAACATGACGTCTTAGCCATTCCGTCACATCGGTACCGTCAGAGCAAATATTTTCGTCTGCAAGACTGTAATTTACAAAGTTGCAAAACCCGACTGTCCCCAATAATAGTTGACAAGGAAATGTTTTCAAATGAAATAAATTTGTTGCATGTAGATACTTTTTTTTTCGTCCGTTGAACAACATACCTCAGAATGTAAAATACGTCTTTTTGTGCTTTCGTGTTGTAGATATTCCCGAGCAAGTACTCGAGTATCGCTCGATAAAACCAACGAGTACTCGATTAGTAATTGTTCACCGAGTTGACATCCCTATTATTAACCATAAAAAAGGTTGTGGTACAAGAGTTTTATTTTAGCAATTTACTAATTTGTTCTTGTGGATATTTCATTATTGTCGCATGCACATAAGCATATTGAACGCACTGTGTAGCTTATTCAAAGTACAAGTTCAACGAGTTTTTCATAAAAGTGTTGTGTATAATAAAATGTAAAAAGAAATAGTACTTCAATGTAGTTATACTCAATTTTTTCAGCTGACCTGGGTCTATAAGTCCAAAATGAGCTATTGTCATGACGTGGCGTTTGTCGTCGTCGTCCTTTGTTGTAAACTTTTTAAAACTCACCTAGCATTTTAAAATAGTGCCAAATGGTCAAGTTAGCTTTGTCATCACTTTGGCGTTTGTTGTCCTTTCGTCGTAGTCATTTAAATTTTACAGAGATCTTCTTCTCTGAAACGTCTAGGCCGGATAGATATATGGATATAGCAAAATTGATCAACAAGACAAGGTCTTAAAATAAGTCTACAATACAGAAATCGTCAGTCGACACCTTATTGGAGTTATTGCTCTTGAGGGTTGCTCTACGTTGGACTTGTTTGACTCCAACCAACGATCAATTTCTACAAAAAGAACTTCGTCGATTTTTAAAATCTGTAACTCTTTTTAAAGCTGGAATATTATTCTTTATTAACCTTAAGATGAAGTTATTTTTGGTATGATCAATAAAAAAATATTGCTTATTAACCGCTAAAAAAGTGTTCTTCCAACTTGGATGGAACTAGCATGTTCAGATCAAATGGTAGTAAATATTGATTTTCATTCTTTGAATTTACCATACACAAACTACCAAACCGTGTCTCAGATTTTTAAAGCAATTGCTTTAATGCTAAGGCGTATAGACATCTTTGTGACTCAGATCAAGGCAACGTTTTTGAAAAGATTCCTCGTCTGTCATTCTAAAAATCCTTTGTATGTTTTCTAATGAAATACATTAATAGAAATAATTGAAAAACAACAGTGGGTTTGTGAAGTTTCAACATAAGTTCTTGTAGATGATTTTTGATTCAGCCATGCTGGATTCATGTGATCACTCTGGAATTGGAGATGGTGCAAAAATCTAAGTTGAAGACAAATCATGAAAATAATTATGTGTTTCTATGACTTACAGAAAATTTATACACCATTTTAATCATCAACCGTCAACTTTTGATATGTTATTTGTCCTTCAATTAAGGAAAAGTTGGGCGAACAACTTCTTTATTTTAATCTGGTTCAAGAGGTGCACGTGTATTGATATCAGAGTTGATTCCCACACTTTTTTGAAATGCCATTATTCCCATTCTTTTATGAGGGAAATGAGAGTATTGATTCAATACCAGTATGATGGACAACTGTCATGATTTTCAAACAATTACATTTAAAGGTGTAAGTATTAATTGGATTCAACTCCACTCAAATGCAGTCTTGATTGACCACAGTTAATATACCATGAAAGTTGATAATCATACTGGTACATGTATTGAGGTCAAGAATTTGTGTATTCAATTTATTACACATCTAACTGAATACACAAAAACTTATAGAAAAGAACAGAAAGGGATCGAAAAGGACCAAGAAGAACAGAAATAGATAGAAAAGGAAATCGATTGTTTTTTTGTAATCAAAGGAGACTAGCAATCGCAAAATCATTAAAGTCTATAATGAATGAAAAGATAATTTCCACAAAATTTTCTTATTAGGTTTTGAAACCTTATACTGCGACAGGACTAACTTATATATGAAAAATTACCCTCTTATAATTACAGTTAGGGGCTATTCAAATGAATTTTGAATAAGCTCATATATTAATTTATGTGTTATACTTATTTAAGTATTTAACAATATCAGAAGTCCTTTACTAGATGTATGATTTTTTTTTATTGGTTATTGACTTTCAGTAACTACCGTATTCTCAGATCTGTACATGTCTTTTTTGTTGTGTGGATATATAATACCTACTCTGCCACGTCTGGTCTGTCTTTTTGTTAGATGTTTATCTGCTTTGTTTCGATCGGATGAGTTAAGCCCTTTTCAATTGATATTTATAGTTTGTTCTTCTGTTGAACTGTTACACCACTGTCTCAGGTTAGGGGAGGGTTTGGTGTCAACAATCTAGTTCAACCCTACTTGCGCATTCTGTATGTACCTGTCTCAAGTCAGGAGCCTGTAATTCAATGGTTTGCAATTGTTGATGTGTATATCATATTTGTTTTTCGTTCATTGTTTTGTACATAAATCAGGCCGTTAGTTTTCTCAAATTGTCTTACATGTGTCATTTCGGGGCATTTTATAGCTGACTATGCGGTATGGGTTTTGTCCATTGATGAAGGCCATACGGTGATCAATAGTTTTACACTTCTATGTTATTTGGTCTCTGGTTGAGATTTGTCTCATTGGCAATCATACCACATCTTCTTATTTCTATAGTCTATCTATACCTTAAGTCAGTGTCCTCTTACCAAAAAATATGTTGTGTCTTCCGCTACTTTTAAAAGTTGAAAAGAGGGGGTAAGAACTGAAAATAATAGTCTTGTCAAAGACAAGACAGAATGAAATTTTAGTGAAATGAATATTCTTCTTTTGTGGGAAAAGTTGCTGGATCCGCCACTGTGCAGGATCCCAATATACAAGCACTTCAAATAAGTTAGAAAATACTTTTATTGCTATATAAATTCCATTCAAGCAATTCTTTATCGATTGCATTAAAGTATAAAATATAATTATATCTTCGACAAACAGTCTTTTGATATATAACCCGATTGGAATAGCTGTACACTGAAGAGAGCAATGACATTGCATTTCCATTCTGATACAATTGTAATAAAAATCTGCGTAATTTATTATCATGTTACACGTTTTTCAAATCGTTGTAAATTTCTTTTTAATCATAAGAATTTACCTAAAAATATATACTGAATAAAAAAGCAAAATACAACAGCAAATACGAAGTAGAAAATTAGAAATTTCTTTTGTGATGCTGGTTCTGTAAATCCCAATGGCCTTGTTTTCAGGGACGCAAATGTCCTGTCCCATTGTGTCATTATCGCTTGTCTAGCTCCACTCCATTTACCGGGTCCGTTTAACCTATATTGGTATGGCGTACATGGCCCAAAGTAACAGTTCAGAGCTAACATAGGATCTGACCATAGTAATGACTCTGTAATAGATAATAAATAATAAATGTAAAAAGTAATCTCTAAGGCAGCCATAGTAATGACTCTGTAATAGATAAGAAATAAGAAATGTAAAAAGTGATTTTTAATGCAGCCATAGCAATGACTCTGTAATAGATAAGAAATAATAAATGTAAAAAGTGATTTTTAATGCAGCCATAGCAATGACTCTGTAATAGATAAGAAATAATAAATGTAAAAAGTGATTTTTAATGCAGCCATAGCAATGACTCTGTAATAGATAATAAATAATAAATGTAAAAAGTTATCTCTAATGCAGCCATAGTAATGACTCTGTAATAGATAATAAATAATAAATGTAAAACGTTATCTTTAATGTAGCTATCTTCGTGGTCCAAAGTAATAGGTTAAAGGTTTGACTCACGATTAGAAACAGTTACATGCGCCATAGATGTAATACCCATAGATATGCGCGTATGTAAGTGCAATGTAACCAAAGGATAATCAAATCTCAAAATCAAAGCCCATGCGAGTTACATAATATAGAAATCTTCTACTTAAAGTACTGGTTGATAATGAAGGCCACGTTTACAAAATGAAAAATAAAAACAATAAATGGAGAATGTGTCCATGCGACACAGATGATGCCCCCGCTTGCATATAACGTTATAAAGAGCATAATAAATCGAGAACGGTAAAAGTGATGCTACCCAAATTCGACCTGGATCTGTGTTTTGTGGTAATTAGCATTGTGTATAAGTTTTATAAGTTTCATAACATTTGGTTGAGGCCAACTAAAGTTAGAGAACGGAAAAAAAATTTGGGACTTACGTACTTCATCAGTCTGAACTTGCTTTGAACGTAAAAAATATGTGAAACACCTCTGTGACCTCAAAACAATACGACTTCTTTGGTACGAAGCCTGCGGAACGATGGAACTACTCATGCAGTAGTCTTTCAACATGCTAGCAATGCAATATAAAGTTAAAGGTGTACAATTGGTATAGTGATGTTTAATCTTGTATAAATATGCATATGTATATGGTTATGAGGATTCCTAGTGAAATTCAACGCAAAAGAACACTAAGAAGTCATTTAATCAGACAAGCTTACACTAACTTCATTTGTTTATCCTGTTTAAGAATGACCATAGTTGATCCCATAATTGTTTGTGTATTTAAGATAAAAAAAAAAAGAGGTTGCTAAATTTGAAGAAACTGGATGCTAATGTAACTTTCATAAGAACTTCCTTTGAACTTACTTAGATCAGGGAGACATCCATTTAATGTAGCCAGCTCGTCCATGTAATCGATATAATCGACTTGAATGGTATGTCTTTGTGTTTGTACATACTTCAGTTGCATGGCTAATTCTTTGTTTTTAATGTCTGTCATCATTTCCTCATAGCATGGAAGCTTAACTTTTCCCTAGTTGTAAAAGTAAAACAAATCGCTAACTGATTAAGGTGGTACATAACACTACAGGAAGATAACTCTGTAAAAATCAGCTGAACGTTTTAATCACATTCTTTTGTTAAGGAAATATTAAGCTTCTAAATGATCAAAATTAGTGTTTGTCAAACTGCTATATATCCAAAGAAATTTTTCCGATAAAGTGTGTGGTTCAAGGTTTTGAAATTTTTATATATTTTTGTGAAAGGGTCAAAGTAAATATTTTGTCAAAATTTTATGAAAATTAAACGAGCCAAATTAATTTTAGTCAAGGTGTTTGGTACCACCTTAAGTATCCCGGCGTACTCGTTTATGGTTGTAATAAAAGAAAATGTAATAGTTATTGAACTTAAGTTATACTGCACAGCTAATGTGACCCTACTTGAGCCAAACGTTAAGAGGTAGGGTCATCGGTTCACCGAGCTGTGCAGTATCAATAATTTATACAGATTTGATTGGTCAGTAACTGCTTTAACAGTGCACATGACGTCATTAATTTACATGAACGTTTTAGAGATAATTTTGTGAGCAGAAAGGAATATGTCTGTTTACGCGAAAAAATACTTTAATTAGTAGTAAAAAAAAATTTGAGAGCCGTATGATATTTCGATGAGTATATGGCCATTAAATGTAGTTGCCAATCTCTTGTACGGTTTGACGGTCAGTATTAATACGCCAAATGTCGAGTTCAGTGAGACCAGACGTTAAGCAATCAACAATCTATCCATCAATCGGGATCAATGACTTTTGTTAGTGATGGATGACCCCAATGTTTCACAGTTTGACACAATGACGTTTGCAAAAGAATCACTTTTGCTCTGTTATTTCTCAAATGTTTCTTATTGTGACAAGAGAAAAAATGTGTTTTCCCTTCAATGACGGCCAATCGAAATTGTTGTATATTAAAACTTCTGCACGGGTCCTGATTAATCATATATATTTTGATTTTGGATGCATCATTTCATAAATTTGATAAATCTCTTTGCTTATTCAGTTTTGTAAATATGCATGTTTCAACTGTATTTTTCCGTACTTATTTATACATCTTTGGTGTTCAAAAAATGATGACTTAACCAAGAGTCGATCTTGGTGAAAGTAAACTTACTAAACCAACTAATTCAGCATTTTTTTTTCTTTGAATGACACTTTTTCGTATAAGAATCTATGATTATGTTATAAAATAGTTAAAAGCTTTGTATTTACACATGTTTTACCTGAAAAACACGTGTAGCTAATCTACACTGTAACTCGGATATCGGCATTATCGCCGCTAATGGCTGTATACATCCTATTACACATAAAGTAGACTGTTCCAGTTTTGGAGGAAACACATATTTAAACAGTTCCACATGATTTTGTTTGACATCAAGAACAGATTTGTCCAAGAAAGGAAACCCAAATATGTAGCCTGTTGCCAAGACAACAACATCAATATTCTCCTCTTTGGTGCCATCATCAAATATTACTCCATTTTCTGTAAACATTTTGATATCTGGTTTTACCTTCAAAGTCCCGGATGCAAGTCTGTTCGGCATGTCATCGTTAATTGTGGGATGCTGAGCAGTAATACGATGCTTAGGTTTAAGGCAGTAGATTGAATGGTCAAACCTTTTATTTACCTGATTCTCCATCATATTTTCAAAAAAAGACGGAGGTAAAAGCTTCCTCAATTTCAACACAGACCTTTTAAGACCTATCATATCTACAGGCATACCGTTATCGGCTATTCTGTTAAAAACCCAACTTCCACGTCTTGTACTGATAAAAACCTATAGGATAGTAAGAAGATCTGTCAACAAGTTATATCTTTAAAAAGATATATGACGCATTCAGATGTGAGCATAGAGTTTAAAATAAACCATATGAACCTTTATCGTTTTTTTTTTATCATAGTTAAAAAAAATTGCACACAATTTGACGGCAAAAGGCTGACGATTCTGAAAGTTGAGTATAATTATACGCTTTTCTCTAAAGAATTAACATATACACTTCATGGTACTTAACTAAATGAGTAAAAAATTATTTGGATATTTTTAGGAGATAAAGAAGTACCTACAGCTGTGAAATTAGACATACACGTACGATAATCGTAGAATAACAAACTTGAAACAGTTTAACACCATAAAAATGTCAATTATAACTATATGCCAAGCACAACTTTAACATAGATACAACCTATTTCAGTGTGTATATCGGGGCCGGACGGACGCCAAAGGGAGATGACCTATTATCACTACAAACCAGTAAAAGTCTGAAATGGCCTATATCTGTACTCGACTCATGTACTGATTTTTACTCGACCCGTCTGAATTGGTCTGAATTTTACTCGACATTACTCGACCCCAGTCTTAACCATACTAGACTGTACTGATTTGTACTTGACCCTTATCTTTAAAAACCTCTACTTTTTCTAAATTTTAACTGTTGAAATAAATTTCTTTTTAACTGACATGACAACAGCCACAATAAAATAAAGATATATTATAAAAACAGATTTTTACATTCTTACATGATTCTCAGATTTATCGAATAGAGATAGTTAAATCAAATTATCTTATATGAAGCCATTTAAGTGCCAAACCACTTTGACATTTTGTTATCATAACAATTATTTGATCATCATTGATATTTATTGAATAAATTTTAATTACAAAGTTGCTTCATATATTATAGCAGAGACATATATACACAGAGATTGGCAACTGTAACAGTGGTCAGCGAAATCCAATTAAAAACACGCATCACACGAGACTTTAACGAGATCGCCATTTTGCATCTGATCATGACAAGTTCACCACCGCTTCGATTTTTATTTTACATCAAGCATTTCAAAACAGCATAATGTAAGTATATATTTCAATTTCATAAATTATTTACCTTGTTTTATTCAGTTTGTAGTAATTGTTAGTTAAAATATTGTGACGATTAACGTTTTATTGTGGTTAATAATAAGGGGAAAGTTTGGCCGACATGGACGTTATGAAAATTTTTTACACGGACGTATTTTTTATTAAAACCTTTTCGTTCGAAAAGGAATAAAACCATTTATGAGATGAATCACTTTTCACAAGACATATTGGTTTTGTGTAAATATGTTGAATTTTTCATTAAATCACCCACTTTGATGCAATTTACAATTAAAATTCAGTATTCTCGCTGTCGGCCACGTTCAATTTTTAAAATATAAAGACAGGCCCCTGTCCATGTCTACAGTCAATAAACTTTCCCATCTTTAGAGAAAAATTATTCCCAGCACATGAATTACTTTCTTATGACATACTGGATTTGTATATAACAGTTGTTTTTTACATATTTTCACCCACTTTGATGCAATTTACAATTAAAAATGACCATTCAAGCTGTCGGCCATTTTCATTCTCTTCAATATAAAGACAGGCCCCTGTCCATGTCTACAGTCAATAAACTTTTCCATCTTTAGAGAATAATTATTCCCAGCACATGAATTACTTTCTTATGACATACTGGATTTGTGTATAACAGTTGTTTTTTCCATATTTTCACCAGCTTTGATGCAATTTACAATTAAAAATGACCATTCAAGCTGTCGGCCATTTTCATTCTCTTCAATATAAAGACAGGCACCTGTCCATGGCTACAGTTTATAAAATTGTCCATCTTAAAAGAACAAATGTACCCATCACCATTGATCACAGTAATTACTTTCCCAAGACATACCGGTTTTGTGTATATAAATTGTTTTTTTCATTATTTCCACCACTTTGATGACATTTACAAGTTTATATACATGTATATTTACATTCAGTATCTGACAGCATTTTTTTTTTAACAGGATCCTGCATGCTATAAAAGAACAAAGATGTTGATCAAATTTACCTAACAGTGCAGCATACAAGAGATGTAATATCATACATGTGCTGAATGTAGGACTCCCTAGCCTTTCTGATTGAAAAAAAGATTCCCTGGCAGACAGGAACAACTATTAGTGATGACTTTTTTCAAATGTTACTTCACAGTCATGTAGTGGACCGATTACATGTACTATTATCAATGTGATACTAAAAAATGGTTTTGTAAGAGAGAAAATGACATGTGCTTATCCTGACTGTGAAAACACCACATTATTGTAGTTCAAATATCTTAGTTCATATGCCAAACTTGATGTACATGTGTATGCGATTTTTGTGCAAGTGATGGTGACATCATTGAACTAAGAATAAATACAAGACTCCGCATTCAATCTATTGAATTTGAAACAGAAGTGGCAGTTGTGCAGAGACTATACGGATAAAAATGCAAATAAATATCTTGTGTTCAACTTCATTTGTCTTCTTTACGTTTACAAAGTATACGTGTACATAATTTTTACATACATGTATAACAATATGATAATGTAGTATGATTGCCAATGAGACAATGATTTACATGTATGACTATCATTGGAAGGCCACTCTATAATATCTTTGTATATCATGAGAATGGAAATGCTACCTTTGTAGCATAAAGGTAGCATAATGTAAGAAAAGGGAAAATGTTCATTTATTCAACAACACTCCTGTGAATATATAACTTGACAGTACTAAAGGCAAAAAATTTCGTTTCACAAATTCCTTCCTTTCCTCGGAAAATAACATATTTAATTGTTTACATGAAATGACAAAATGTGTAGAATAAGAAGCAAGAAATGTTCACTCTACTTGTACACTACTAGTCGCTCATATTAGTCATCATCTATGTTTGTTTCAGTCCTTTAGCAATGGTGCTTGTTTATATTTATCTGTTGTGTTGTGTTGTTTCAGTTTTACATGTCCTCATTCTGATCACTGTTTCACCTCGCCTATTTTTAAAAATGTTAATGCAAATATTTTCTGCAATAAATTGAAAAGGCACAGCTGCTATGAATATTCAGAAATGTGAGGTATATGTCAATGATACAACAACCCAACGACAAAAATATTCTTTGCACATCTATGAATGTTTAAGAATTCTTGTGGAGGTCAAAAGCACGTAACGTGTACTTATATATTGGTGACCTGGTACATGTATGTAAGAGACCAAGCAGTTTATATGCTTATAAAAAAACTGATATTAAAATGAATTCCTGTATAACAAATTCCGGGAATGAGACACTATTTTATTTAAACCAGATGAGATATTAGTGGTAAAGGTTTAAACAGAAGCAGGAGATGTCAAGGGGCAATACATAAGTACAAGGTCATGTAACACAGACAAAAAAAAGACAAATGAAAAGAAAATAACAGCCCACGTAGCACTGCACCGAAACATAAACCCTCAAAAGATCAGATAAAACTTGTCTTCAATTTTAAATCTTTCTAATTTCAAACTCGAGTTTCACTACCCGATAGGAAAGAGTAAAGATAAGGATGTTGCAGTACTTCTGTGGTCTATGAAACAGAACATTAAAATTCTACAGTTCAGCAGAGCATTTTACTGTACTTATGATACACGTTGTTTTTAATCAGGGTCTGTGATATTAAGTCTATAAAAAACTACAAATAATGACAGATTCATATTCAATATTTCATGACAGCAAAAATAGTGATTTCGACAACACTGTACATAATGTACGTTCATTTAGGAAATTCATGCAAAGGTTCCACAAATAATGTAATTGTAGGTCAATCAAAAATTAATCATTTAAATCCGTTTTCCACGAGACAAAATTCTACTGGCTACATATTTTTTTTATATAAAAAAGTTGCTTTCTGATTTCTTTTTTTGACATGTTAAATGACTATTTTTGTTCCTGATTGAATACTATAGTAGAATGTAGGACAGTAAGTCACAGGACAAAAAGTCACGGACGAAAAGTCACAATTCAGTTTTGAGATTATTTTTCTCTGAACAAGAAAACACTAATTTTAAAAATATTTTTTTGATTTTTTATTGAACTATAATATATGAAGCAACTTTGTAATTAAAATTCATTCAATAAATATCAATGATGATCAAATAATTGTTATGATAACAAAATGTCAAAGTGGTTTGGCACTTAAATGGCTTCATGGTGCCAAGAAATATATTATTTGCATGATTAAAATTTAAAATTTTTTCTTTTATCAAGGCTTATGAACAATTTCCTGAACTTAAAAATTAATAAATGTAAAAAAAGATATTATTTGAAGATCTTTCTCTTATATATTCAAACAATTGTCAATAAATTATTTGTGACTTTTTGTCCTATCCAATTTGACTTTATGTCCTGTGACTTTTTGTACTGTGACTTTCTGTCCGTTTACCCTATTCATAGTATAGCCCAGTGTTTCTGTTAAAATAAAGTTCTGGTCATGGTTAAAATAATGTCAGAATTTGTTTAGTTGTAAAAACAATTACCAAGTAATAATCCACTTAGAACTTCACCTCCGGCAAAATTCAGGTGATCGGAGGGCAATAAATTGCGTAATCGCACACCTTTGAATCCACAGTCACAACTCTTAAGGAAATAATGACCGGAAAATCGGACACACATAATTTCACTGTGTAATTTAGAAGCAAACTTCAGCAAAGAAATGTTTCTTGGAATATCATGATCATTACCAGATTTTACTTTTTAAATTAAAAGAAATGCCGAAAAAAAGAAAAAAATATTTTCTCAATCAAATACATTAAAAAAAATACAACTATTTCAAGATGTTTTTTAGAAAAAGAATTTATTTGATCTGAAATAAGTTTTCCTATAACTTTTCTTGATTAGCTATCGAGGTTATTCATCCCTGACTTGTCTACATGTTGTAGAATAATTATCGACGAGAATCTCATTCCGGGCCGC